TATGTCATGGCCACAAAATTGCTATGTTAAAAGGCACAAACAGTGTCCATTCCTTCCCCCATCACATGTCACTTGAGGCTTATGTTTCCTACTTGTAATGTCTCATCCCTCCTTCTTTAAAACCGTGAAACATTTTTTCCTGGTTTGAGCCAGGATGAAGCCTGAATTTTTAATTAGATAGGAATATTGTTTTCATTCACTAGTGTGAAGAAGCTTTACTAAGAAACCTAAACTATGTGGGTTCACAACAAACTGAAAATTTATCCCCCCCTGATTTGCAAACTATTGGTGATTGAACATTTCACATCCAAGAGTAAAAATGCATTACTTCCACGTGCTTCTAAAGCAGTGAGATGAGTAGACTCAGTTTCAGTGATAAGATGCTGGGAAAGGGAATGTATAGAACGCACTTAAGAGCAAAAAACCTGAAAGTTCTGAACACTTAAACATTTCACAGCATTTCATGCATCTCAGAATAAGCCATTTGGAATATAAAGTTAAAAAAACCACATCCAAGTTGAGTGCAACATCAAGATTGCATAACCAGAGTTTTATTTTTAATATAAACAGCTTAATAAAAAAATTGCAGTCTTTTTTTTTTTTTTTAAATATACAAACTTTGCTTACAAAGAGCTAATAAATCATGAGACATGGCTAAAGGCCTTTTAAGACTGCTTCTTTGAAATGCAGTGTATCAACTGCTTAAAAAGATGTAAGATTCCTATAAAATGCTGGAACAAAACAACTGAGGACCTGCTTGTAAGAGCTTGTAAAAATACCTTTACTCTAAAAGCTCTGTGAAGCCCAGGTAGCTAAATACCACCAAAAGAAATGGTCACCAGTCAGCATGTCTTTGAAAACAAAGGCAATGTTTGGGGCTATTGTTTCAGGGTAAACCTAGAGAAGGAGGTCTTAACTAAAGGACTTAAATAAACTTACCTGACTTATCTCACTACTACTCCAAGTTTCCTTCAATGTTTTCTTCTTCAGCACATATTCTTGCTTTTCTAAATACCATAATTTAATTGAAACCTTTGCTTTGGTTTTGCACTGGTGGGTCATTAAACTCAAGTGACAAACTAAGAATTTTATTCACTCTGGAGCAAAGAAAGTTGAAAGGACACTTCCAGGAACACTACTATGACAAATGCAATTAACACTATCACAAAAATAGTAGACAAGAATCTAAGAACTGATTTGTCAAAATGACACTGTGTCTAATTTTGAGTCTCTATGACTCAGTTTACCACTGTACATAAGCAAAGCAGGTAACACTTGCACACAGTATTTTATATTTACTGTCAATAATGTATTTATTAAAGTCCAAACAGCACCAATTTTTGGAGGAAAGGTGAGCACCTCGAAGGACAGGATTTTAGGTCAGAACTTTCTTGATAAAATGAAGATGCAGTAAAGATGAAATTCAGTAAGACAAATACAAAGCTCTATACTTTAAAGGAATTAAATACAGAGACAAAAAATGAAGAACCATGATGTAGGCAGCAGTACATGCAGAAAAAGACTTAGGACTTTTATTGTGGACCTCATGTACAATATTGGGATGCTCCAGCAATAAAGACAAGTTGCATACACTGAGAAGATTCAGCATGAAGACAAGAGAAGCAATTATGATACCTCAAAGGATTATTATATCTACATTCTGTATTATTTTATGCTAAGGATCCAGATTAAATATTCTGTGTAATATAAATAAGACTACAGTCTCAGCTCAAGTGCAGAAGTGGCAAAATTGAAAAAATATGCCCTACAATGACAATATGAAAATTTTAATTAGAAACAGTCAGAGAGTGTGTGGGATTTGAGAGAGAATAAGGGAGGTTTCGGAATAGCAATCTCAATGTATCAAGAAAATTCTTAATTTAGGAAGAAAAACTGATAAAAGAGCAATTTAACCACCAGTAACGAAGATTCAGTTTAGACAGTAGTAAAAGCTCTATAAAGCTTCTCTTAATTTTTGTATAAAACATCTAAAAGTGTTTGAACACACCAATTGGAAAGAAAAAATTATTGCTGTTGAACACTTCTTCAAAGCAGATTCAGAAAACGTCTACCAAGAATGTTCCTATTCTCCCCAAAAAATGAGGAAGAGAGATGAGAGGAGGTTCAGCACTAAATCTCTATTATTCTGCATTATTTACCAGATTAAATGTATTACATTGCATATAAATGTTGATTAAAATGGCCTGTATAGCTACTGTTCTATCATCAACCAGTGCTTGGCTGTTGCCCTCGAGTATAATTTACCTTCAAACAAGTTGCAGAGTTACTAACCATTACAAAAGAGAAAGATCAGCAGTTTGCATGACAACAGTTGGGAATGGCTTGTGTAAATAGGCCAATGGGACATGATACCCAAAGCTTTCAGAGTGCTGCACTGTACTCCCCCTCCTCCCCTCAGAATTGTACAATTACCAGTGGCATAAATAACAGCCATATTATTATATCCCCAAACTTCTGTGATTGAATTTGGCAACTCGAATTCCCCAACCATATTTAATTCAGCTATTTAACATCTGTTTGTGTGTTTGGGGGAGTCAATGTGCTTTGTTTCTTTTAAAGCCAAATTGTGCCTTGGGTGTAATACGAGGATAAAGAAAAAGAAGTTTCACTGCATTAAATAAACCAACAACAGTAAAATCAGATTTAAGTCATAATTTTCTCAAAGGAAAACAGATTTAGAAGGATGGCATCCACAGTACACTTCTCTGAAGGTCTCTACTCCACAGCAAGTACAAAGATAACTCAAAAAAGTCCAGAAAAAAAACCAACAAACCTGTCCAAAAAAAAGAATTTTAACAGCTTGCTATTTTTAGGATCAAGACCCTTCAGTTTAACGAGTAACAAAGACTGACCATATCCAGTGACTTGCACAGTCAGACAAGAGTGAATGAGCCATGAGGAGGTTGCAGAAGACAGAGCAAATCCCCTGCACAGCAAACTCATGGCAACCTGTTGCTGCATGATTGTGACCACTGAAAACAATATTTTTCCAGCCTGAGTGTACCATGTCCACATCAGTCACTGGGATGTTAGTCCTTATTTAACACTTTACTACTCTAGCACATGCCTCTCTACAGTAGTTCAAAAGTCTAGTTCAGTTTATTTTTGCTATTAAGGAATTTTCACTGAGTTCTGTTCCACTAGATATGTCCTCCATCTAAGCACAGTGAATACACGAGTGGCAGAAAGTTATTGTATACACAGGTGTTTTTGTTACTCTGCACAGCTGTTTAGACACCATTAGGATCTTCACATTATAATAAAAACACAGTGCAAACCTTTGAACTAAGCTTTTTTCTCCTCCAGTTACCAGCACCCAGCCAGGACAGCAGAGAGATCAGTATTTAGAACTGTAAGCATTGGTTGGACATTTAAATAAGAACCCTGAATCTTTATCAACACAGACAGAACTGGCAAGCAGTATCTGAATGAACCTCATTTATTTGTGCTCATGCAGGATGAGCACAATGAGTACTGTTTGTGCCACAGATATAAAAATTTAGGTATACATAAAATTAGAAACTCTTCTTCCAGTTAGAAGAATCATTATTTCAAATTACAATTCATACGCATTGGGCTTTTTTTTGATCTTCGTGGAAATTCCATTTGCATCTCACTCTGGTGACTTCAAAATTCCTCTGTACTTCAGCAAAGCTTAGTGAGTTTCACAATACTGTATGACTTAGATGTACGCCTGGCCATGAATGCAAAACTCAGGCCAAGTTTTTCCCATTAGCTACAGCTATAGGGATTTTAACAACTGAAATACAGAAAGAAATGGTGACAAGTTTCTTCTAAAACAGATTAAGCACCACCACTTCAACTTCTTAATAGTAGCTGATGTCTTAATTCTAGGTTATTAAGAAAACACAAAAGAGAAACAAAAAAGCCACCCAAAAAACAGACAAAACAAACAACAAGCACCAATAACAATATTTCTCCCAAATAATATAAAATATTAGGGAATTGTTTAATTTTAAGGATAATGCAGTTATTCCAACATCAAGTATGTTCTCGCTTTGTACAAAATGTGTGAAAACCAGAAAAAGGCCTCTAGGCAAACTCAATACGAAAACAGGGCAAATATGTCTGCACAACATATTTACTATATACAAAAAGCAGAAGATGCTACGTGAAGATAAACTACGATTAAGTTGACTTTTGTTTCCTTAGATTACCAAAATTAGAACTTTTGAGTACTCCCCTTGAAAATATAGAAATGCTTCTTTGAGAGTGAAATCTATAAATCAGTATTAAAATTAGTATCAATATTATTACCCATATAAGCAACACATTTCAACTATATTTCTAAGTTTGGAAAGTCAAATAATGAGCAATTCCTCATCTGAAAATTGACAAACCTACAGAATTTCTACCTGCTTTCATAAATATGATGTGTATTCTCAATTTCCAGAACTCTTTTCATGCAATGTGATCTTGAAATAGCTAGAAATACTGTTTTGTGAATCATCACTTTGGATTCTAATCATTAAAAATAATGACAAACAACATTTCATCTCAGGAATGTTTGAGTACTATTGAGCATCAATAAAATGGCAGAATCTTATTTTTGACTGATGAAGCCGACACTACAGCTGCTGCAAACACACTTCTCAGGGGCATAATCTACATCTGAATGGACAAAAATATCTAGGCAATGAAAAGCCAAAAGCAAAATTAATAAAACAAGTTTTACATTCACTTTGTATAACAAATTAAGGTGTCCTAGGCTCTAGTGCATATAACTCATGCTCAAGAATGAAGGAAGGGGAGCCAAAATGAAGGTACAAAAGTTTTGACCTCTTGAGGAGGTTGTCTGGAACATAAAATATGCTGTATTGTTCTACTGTTAACATCCACAAACATGCATGCTTCCTTAAGCCTAGTCTGCATTCTGCTGTGTGAACAACAGGTCCTTTTGAGTCAAGCATACAGTAAGGAAAACTCCTAGAGGTACAGGTCAAGGAAAGTTCTCTCACCTGAAAATTTCCTGCATGGTCGTCTTCTTTGTCACCTTCTTTTCCTTCCTTGAGAGCAATCAATGTGAATCCTCGGAAGTAAGCAGGAGTGGCAGCAGAAAGTGTCACTGAAATAAAGCAAACAGAAATAATGAAAACGTAATATTAATTGTGACATCAGCCATTTGAGTATCATTGCACAGTTTAACTTGACAGGTGTGTGATTTAAGTTGGTATTAACAAAAGCTAGAGCTTTGAAAACATGGAGCAGAGCCAGCCACAATACAGAAATGTTCAGTCCAAGTTTCCACATAAACTGAAAACCACTGGCATGATGTGAAATACCTCAGCTATTTATTTTTTTCCACATATCTCCCCCTCCCCACCCCTTTTTGTTTTTAAAGTAGACTGCTAATCTGTTCAGATGTCCAGGAGGGTTGTTTTGTTACTTTTAGTTTTAGGGCAAGGACACTTACCTGGGTTTTTTTTTGGGGGGGGTTTTCATGTTCTGTTCTGCCTTTCTTTTTTTCTTTTTTTTTTTCTTTTTTCACATGTGAGGGAACACCTCCTGAATATTTGGCTTTAGCTTTTGTCCTGCTCTGAGCATAGATAAGGATCTAGACACTTTAGTACACAGCAAGTTTCTTTAACTGTAAAGCAAGATCACCATCTTGCTTGTTCCAACTCAGCTATGCTCAACTCTGTACTTCAGCTCAGGGAGATGGTTGCTCTAAAACTATCCTTTCCCTTATCCTGAGGGCAGAACAGGATACACAGGACATGAAGTTAAATTTATGGCTAAAGCTGACCTCTAGAAATTGTGCTGCCAGCTCTGATTGCCCAAGCATCCTACACACCAGCAAAACACTTCACAAACCAGTCTGGACCAGGAAGAGGTCACTGGATGCACAAGCAGGGAACAAATAATGGCAAACCGACTAATCTGATTTTACCATGCTCAGCATCAACATAACATCCCTCATTTTCTGCTAGTGAAAGATATCTCTGGATGATTTTTCTATTTGCCATCATCAGTACCTAAGCACCACCTTGAGTTATGTCAGCTGAGGCTCTTTTGAACACTATCAGAAAGATGGGATGAGGCACAGCTTTGAGGAATGACTTTTGGAGGAGTTTTAAAATTACTGAATCCTTTTCAACACCTTATAAGAACCCTTTTGTGAAACGGAGGTAAAATTTTTTGGGAAAATTATTTTTTTAATTAAAGGAAAAAGAGACTGAAAATTGGACTTCTAGTACCTTTAAATAGCTTTTACTTTACACATAATGTAGAACCTGTTGCTTGTAGTACACTGTTAGTTATACTCTGAACCTCTGGACTGGCACAATAAAAACTGAAGAGCCCCCAGAGTTTTAATGAGCAAACTGCAACTGCCAACAGAAGAGTATTCATAAGACACCCCTCCTCACACCAACAGGCCATGAGGGGTTGAAACCCCTCACTAAAAATAAGCAATTGCCCTTAAAATAGATGGATTTCAGAATATGTCCAGAGTTCACTTGGAACATACAGAAAACTTTTTGATCTAGGAATTCAATAGTGGAACAATAAAAATATGGTATTTGAGGATTTCTGGTATTATGCAGCTGTATTTAGGTCGAAAAGCCATGGTCTTTGTACAAAGACACAACTTTTCTGAATATAAGTCAGAAAAGGATTGGAGGGATACACAAAAGGTTAGAATGCAAGGTTTAGAACTGTACACCTGCAAGCACCTGTATAAATCTAGAGATGGGCATAACAGCAGTTCCCCCCAGCTGAAGATTTTCAGTACACTGTCATTGCATGGAAACTTACTATGAGGATAAACCTAATCATTTTTTGAGAGGAACAAACTTTCACATTTTATATTTAGGAATTGAGTAGTAGCATAATAGCATTAAACTTTCTGATTATGTTTCTAAATATTACTCCAATTCGTTAATCCATTTACTGCACAATAATTAGCATTATTAGCCCTATTTTGTAAACTTAGGCAGTTCTATCTAAACAAAAATTCAGAGCCGGCCTCTCAGCTGCAGTACCTGAGAACAGCAACACTGCTGAACTGAACAAGGATTAACACATTACACTTGCTTGAACACTGTTTCTTAGAAACTAATTGCTATGAAGGTCTTTTACATGCAACAATTTTTCCATATAATATATGTAATTCAAAAGTCTGAATCACTATGAGTAAAAGGTTACACCAGAAATACTTAAGTATTTCTGCAAGCAAACAAAGAATCCAGCTTTGAATTGGTTCAACAGTTTTTTTCCTTGCAAATTTACAGATCAAAACAAACAGTTTTCAAGATTCTAAACAAAACACCTACCTATAAAATACAGGACATTTGAAATGCTACAAAACCACCAACAAAACAAAGAGGAAGATAATTCCAAGCCTGACTCATAGTTTTTGAATTCCTGGAGTTGGCCATGCTCATGCTGTGATTGCACAGTCATTTTAAGGCAGAATAAATCTATGCTTCCCACAACACAAGTGGTGCTGCCCTCCCCACCCGCACTGCTCATCTAGCAGCCACATCCACACAGCTGTGCTGCCAGCTGAACTAGGGAACACATCCAGCTGAAAAGTAAAACAAAACAAAAAAACCCAAACTAAGAGTTCAGCTGGGTCCAATCCTCAGTGGTGGGGACACTCAGATACAAGTCAGGCTTTCAGAAGGTGATGACCCACGAGAGCAGATTTGACTCATATGGGACTTACGTGTCCATGCAACCCCAGTTTAAGGATACCAAGAAAAAGCTGTGCTCTGGTTACCTCTGAGCTAGGCCAGAATGAACACTAACAGCTATGCTGAAAAAGATTTCTATCAGTTCTCTGAATTATCTGGCACAATCAGGAAACACTGCAGCGCAGTGAAGCACTGCTAAGCACAGAGTCTTGTCATGGACTCTGGGCTGCTCATTTCAGCACAGCAGAAGGAGGCTTGCATTGCACAAGCAGCAGTGGGAAGCTGTCAGACTACATCTGGTTTTCACAAGAGATAGCAGCCCCTCCTTGCGTAAGGCTCAAGAGTTCTCCTTGGGCTAAGCTCTGCCATCTGAAAGAACAGCTGAGCGTTGCTCACACTGTGTTCGTGTTAATCAACGGTCACTGAACAATATGAACTTCCTGTAAAGATCAGTTAAATCTCCGTGTAAGCCTTAAAGTTAAGAATTTCACTTTAAAAGGAAGATTACATATCAGAGTTTCTTTTGTCCATTTCCATCCCCTCTGGCGAATCTCTAACTGCTTTACTAGTTGCACTTTGGTACACACCTTCAACACACTCCTCTTTCCCCTGTGTCCACAGCTAAAGGTGGGGGGATCAAAGAAATTGCTCCTTTGCTTTAAGACAAGAAATCTGACTTAACCCATCCTACACTACAGCATATCCTGTGTTGTACATTGCACAAGTACCAACAAATACACTTTCCATATTTACTTTTATCCATAATTTGTGAAACATGAGAATCACTAAAATATTTACAGAATGACTGTTTATATGTAAAGTATAGAAAAGAGTGTTTGCATGCTGAGGGGGAAGGAAGATATTGAAAGAAAAAGATCCAACATTACTTAGAGGTCCCCAAACTAATGCAAAGCAGTGTGTAACATTAACTGAGTTAGTCCTTGAAAACTGAGCTGGTGAACAGACCTGCAAGTAGAAATTCTGTTAAAAAGAAAAACAGCATCCACATAGAAAGAATCTCTGAGGACTATACTAGTAAAATCCTCATTTTCATCATCAGAATAAAAAATATCAGAAAATTATGGAGAAAACTACACCTATTGCATGTTAGCATGTGAAATGTACCTACTACTGCCTTCTTTGAGAAGCAATTTCATTTATGTTTTTAAAATAACAGATGAAACTTACTCCATTTCTCATGGAAATCTCATGCAATCATCAACCTAACTCTACAGATCAATAAAGCTAGGACTGAGTACTCTCAAAGATCATTACTCCATCACACCACCCAAACTTAAGGCTTGTTTATGCCTTGCAAATGCAATGGAAACTTTGACCTTCAGTGGAAGCAAAAGCAGCTTTATTAAGGTGTAAGTTAACTACCAGTTAGTAGTAGAGGACTTGAATCCTAGGATAGTGTGCCCACAAATCTGATACTATGGGAAGACCTGTGCACCACATGCATTTGGCTGCCTGCTCCACAAGGGAAGGGGCAACAGTATTGTGGCCTGTAAAACCAGGCAGATGTTGCAGGCTATAACATCTAGTCCCAGAGCAGATGTTGGAGATAAGTTATGTCACATCCCATGTGGGACATCAAAAAGCCCACATACATTGTTGCTTTTTTAGATATTAGAGAGGGAAGGAAGATGGCTCCTCAAACCCTGCTGTTACCTCATTTCTAGTTTTCTGAAACAGAAGAAAACTGCCTTTCCTTACTGCTGCCATATTTGCAGACCAGAATAGGCGCACACTCATTCAAAGAGGTTATTCAGTGCTCACAACTCCAGAAAGATGGAAAATCAAGACTTCCATATACACAGATCCACCCAGGATTTCCCATTAGGGCAAACAGATCCTGGTTGATCTAAAGGTGAATAACTGCAGGAAAGCTGTAAAAATTTTCAGAAAGACAAATGGCAGCTGTGAACTGTGGTCTTCTGATTCCCACACTGCAAGAGTGCTGTGCTATTTCCTTCAGTCATTGCAGCTAGAAAGTCTTACGTGGGTGGCAGGTCAACCAATGATTGAGACAGTCATGAACATAAATTGATGTCACTATATCATCATTTTGGTGGAGTATGGCATTGTATGTGCAGTCAATTCCTGTGTTATCCACCTTGCATAAACAGTAGTTCCTTCCAGGAGCCTGCTAGGGAATGTGCCAAGGATCCAGATTGCATTAAATCAAACAGGGGCCAGGGAAACAGGCACATTTGGCTCCAACACAATAGAGGCTGTGGAAATCTTCAGTGTTTTACACCTAATAATTTACAGATAAAAAGACCTGCCATAATCCTGCATTTATTTTTATCATTAGTTGGATTTTCTAACCCTTTGCATAAAACAGTAATAAAGTTCCATCTGTATTGCAGTATTTCTTCTGAAAATATGCTCTTGAAACTTTCTGTAATGCTGTTATTTTTAACTATTGCCATAGATAATGTATACGCTACAGTAACATTTACTTATGTTTTCCCAACCATTCAGAAAGTATCCTTATAGAACTATCTCAAAAGCTTATGTGCCATCTGAATACTTAAGTCTTAAATACCAAAAACTTGGGCACATACTTTGATCTGCATTTTAATGTTTTACTATTAGCTGTAATTTTCTCATTTCCACAAAGCTGCAATACACTGATGTGATTTTATTAATTGCACTCCTAATATCTCCATAAAATTAGTTCTCCTAATTAATCTGAGAGTTTCTTTCCCCCTACATTGCCATGCAACAGAAACTTCTTTGGTAGATGACTGAAAATATCCAATAATGCTTTCATAGAAATAAATTCGAAAACTTTTAAAGAACAATTATTTTGTCAATATCAAAGGAATTAAGACTTATCTTTAACTTGCTTAGTAGATGTATCAAACTGACATGCAACACAAAATCTTGCAGACTTAAGGAACTAATCCTAATGTCTGGAACAGTTATCCCATTTGTGGGAAATGTGCATTTCCTCACACCACGTTAAAATAAGGTAATTATTAAGAAAAAAATAAACAAAGATCATACAAAGCTACAGGCTGGTGTTCAAAACAGGTTAATCACTGCTGCAGCTGTATTTTTCAGCCTTTAAGAGAACATAATGGTTATGCTATGCGCACACTCTTCTCTCCCTGCCTATACCAAGATTCCCATGTTCAGGCAATAGGAAGGCATTACTATTCACACGGAATCTAAGGAAGGTCGGGAGAAACACTTAAACTGTCAAAATTTGTTTTCCAAAGTGATTCCTATCAAGTACATTAGTAATGGTACCTACAAAGGTGCAAATTACTTTCTAACTGCTTTTAGAATACAAAGTTAACAGTATACTCCAAGAAGGTTCGTTTCCAAAGGCATTATATGGTGAGGCAGGAAAAGTGACCAAAACCTGCCTTTGCCTGTTAATTAGAAAAAGACACTGAGATGTGCTTTGGAAGTTAATTTCAAGAATTGTAAGTGAAACGTTCAGTGGAGACCAAATGCCTCCATCTCTTATTTACAGTGGTCATTAGCACCGTCTCTGCCTCTTTCCTGTTTGAACCATCTGTTCATTTCCCCTGGGGGAAAAAAAATAAAGAGGGGAGGGATAAACAGAAGTGGAAAATGTGGGAAGTTAGGAGCCTGCTGCATCAATGTTTGCCCATATGCTAACTCATATTAACATTCATATTTCAGGGCAGGAATAATTAGGTCCGAGTTTCCTCTTCTGCCTGCTGAATGTTCAAGCTTCTCCTATTCACTATCATATTTAAAGGGATAGGAAGAAATCCTATAGAAGTAGGTAAACAGGGGGAGCGTGTGCTTTGTATCACATCAACTTGTGATCTTGTGCTAGCACTGAGCTGACAGAGAGGATTCAAAGAAGAAAGGAAATCACTCTTAATACGGAGTTAATGTTCGGGAGTAAAGGGATCCTGTGAAATCCAACTCCCTCTCACTTGTCAGGAAAGCATCCCCAGTGAAGTAATGCGTGGGAGTATATTACCCTGCCTTAACCCGCGCAGTCACAGACACACGCCAAAAGGGACACAGAGATGACAGGCAGAGACACGTTACAGTTTCAGAGACACTTGTCCTGACCATTATCGTTAGCATCGGAAGTAGAGGGTGGCCAACTTACCCCGGTAACTGTTTCCAGGCTTGTAAAATTCTGGATCGCCCTCCACCCTGAGACTAAATTCATTATACCCTTCCCTCCGGGTGCCTTGGGCTCGCAGGATCCGACTGCAATATCCCTCGGACTTCGCGGCTTTCTCCAAGGTTTCGTCAGAGAAACCCTTCGCCACCAAGGGGAAAGTCAACGCC